GCATATTGGCGTAAGAGGATTTATCAACGCCCTCAAAGAACAGAGAGATGCGAGGTGGTTTCTCAATTGGCATGCGTTGCCGCCAAAAGCTAGATAGAAACAAGAGATACGATTAATGAATCACTCATTCTCAATCTTCACCCTGAAGAATAGCATACCATTTGATCATTCTGAGACTCATCGATGGCTTTTGCTTAATCTGAATTGGAGCCTTCATTGCAGCTTAGAACCTCTTCGTCGAATGCAATGTGGCTAATAAGTGGCAGTATTATAAGAGCTCGTCCTTTTCACCGCGGCCATAGAGAGATCGATCTGAAATTGGGAAAGACATCCTAGATAGGCAGACGTCGGAGATTGGCCAGATAAGTATTCAGCTTGACTCTTGAACGTGCCTATCCTCGGGCAGTGATGAAGCACCTATTCCCGACCACGCCTGTCTGGCATTGACTACAACACAGCGTTTCATAACACTACACAGAATACATACAAGACCAGCGTATTGAAGGAGCAATTTCTGAGAAGCGAGAGAGTAGACGGTAGAAGATTGAGATAGATTAACTGGGAGATCGTAAATATTCCAAAGTACTCACTGTGCTCGTCCTTGGGACAACACGCGAGATTCAAAAGTATTTCCATTACTAAGATCTGGGTGGGAGTTGCCAATCCATAATAATTAATTCAACTAAACAAATAGAATCGACTCTTAAGTTGCGTTCCTATCGCTAATGCCTTGCTGCATCTTCAAAAGTCTCAACGTCACCCCTCAACTTTTCTCCTAGAAGAGCACTTTGTGACAAGAGTGGAATGTTGTGAGTGGATCTCAAATGGATGGACAGAGAATGATTCACACTGCCGTACTGGTACCTTGAGTCAGGCCAGTTTCTAAGGTAACTTGGAAAAGGAAAATTGATCCAGAATATTCGGGAAAGATGAGGGACAGTTCGCCCTTGAAATAGTGTCCAATGTGCTGACAAGCTATGTGACGACCCAAACACTTGCTCAGGAACTGGTAGCCCGTTCAAAGGCCCAAATCACCGAGAGCCTAGTCTCGAATTCAGAATAGTCAAAACCAATCAAAAGTCTGCATGTCGCCGCATTGATCATTCAGGCTCAAGAGATTTTATGTCTTTTTCCGGTCAATATATTCAGTCATTGAATTCTTGAAATCGTTAGTCCATCTAGATTTGGCATATATGTCAACCATAGTTTTCGGCAAAGAATGCCATTCACTGTCCAACAAGACGATCGCATCAGAAAGACAAAAAATATCGATATGAATTGAATGTGATAGGCCATGCTTTATTCTTAGGTATCAGCTCCAATTAACTCCCAATGCATATTCCCTTCAACCGAAGAAACAACAACACCAACCCGTCATGAAATCGTAAGAATCGTAACAATCATTTCTACCAATCCAATAATTTTGCCTCGTTTTGCAGTTTCCATCTATTACGTCCCTTCCAAAAACGCCATACCAGCCATGTTCGTAAAAGTTTTCATCATTATACAATGATCTCCTCTTCGCTCGTTTCCGTCGTATTGCCATCACTAGCTTCCAATACTTCGTTATGTCGTCCAAGAAGGTCTGCCTTTCCCAACATTCCATTCTCTACTTCGCAAATGCCATCCAGCCCACCCGTTAGTCTCGCAGATGTTGACTCGGCCTCAATAATAGCACTTCGTTCTCTGCGTGCTCGTTCCCTCTCTGTTCTGCCTGCTTTGGCATCTTTCATCGAGATCCTGTTACCACTAACCCGACCAAATATCCACATTTGTATAACCACCATGATAGCTGTATATCTCCAACACAATGCATCATCTTTATGCATATCAAGTGCCCATTGCGAGCCTGGTAGTGGGCCAAGACTTTCGAAGATCGGATGTGGAGATGTTGACATTGTCTGAGGAGGTGGTAAGAAATGCGAAAAGAAGGTATTTATGAGGTGTAATACGAAGGCGGGGTTGAGTAATATGCCGGGTATGAGATAAGTCGTCGAGAGAAACGTCATTTTGATTTCGAAAATAGAGGGAGAGGCTCTAATTTGGAGAAGTTGGCAGCTGAGTTCTCTCAGAAGGAACCGGATCAATATACGTTTTGCGACCACTCGTATTGGAAGCCCCACGCACTCAAGTACCTCTTCTTGGCTTAAAGTGCTCAAAAATGGGAAATGTGTCGTCGTTATACAATATCAGGATCCAATGACGAAGCAAAAGCAAAGAATTTTCGGGTTGTGCAAGCGGGAGCTGAATGGGTCCAGTGTATTCACTCGTTTTGTGAGAGGATATTGAAGGGATATAGCAGATCTTTCGATGTTTGCGATGTGTGTAACTGGAAAGTTTGGCTTTTCTACCCCTCTATCCTAAGATCAAGAGGGAATTGGCGATATGTGATTAGGCGACAAAAAAGGTATCGTATAGAGGTATTTTGTATTCTCATCCGTTTGAATAAAATCAAATGAATCTAACAGGTCTGTAAGAATGGGATTTTAATCAATACCATATCTAGGGAAGAAAATGAATGAATGGATGAATGGATGGGTGGAAGAGAAGAGAAGGGAGGAAGGTTGAGGTGTTGTACAATTGATGGAGATAAGTCAATTGTACTAGGTAAAGTAGGTGGTATTTCTTCTTTTCAAATCAAGGAAAGTACATACCTAGGTTTATATATATATAACCTTATATATGTACAACTTTTGAGATTTGGGGACTTGACTAGAAATAGCTTGTAGACTCTAGATGGAAGGAAGGGAGGAAGAGAATAAGTGAATGTATGTATATATGTATATGTGTGTATATATGTGCAAGGGAAAGATAGTAGGTAGGCCCGAGGTAGGTGGCATGGAAGTGTGTAATGGCCAATCTCCAAGTAGACATCAACTCATAGTAACTCCATTTTGCGCATTCCATTCATTTAAAGATTACCAAGTATATTGGAAGGACCTAACTGTATAGGTAGATACCGATGAAAAATACCGTTTTTTCTCCCGTTGCACATACCTGTCGTAATCTATTGTCTTGTCGTTTGTACATAGCAATACTTAAAATACTTAATATAAAATGAATCAATTGTGGGATTTGATGCATGCTCGTATTCTAAGATGCGCCGATGGATAATAAGTCCTTAGTAATAACATGTGGTTTGTATGGACCGAGGTTTGCTCGATACGCGTATTGAGTATTGTATACGATGTACAGGTTCTTGCCGGTATTTGCTTGCTTGTGTGTATTACCTAATGAGCAGATCGTATTGTCTGATGATATACTCCGTATGCTGTCGTTGTATACGTTGTCGTTGCATACGTTGTCGCTGCATATGCTGTCGTTGCTCGAATAGCCTCAATTCTGTCACATCTGTCAAATTGAAAGACCCCTCATGTTCAGGATTTTCGTCTGATTGATCGGATTACAAGTACGTACTAAGGCACCTAGGGTACACGGACGACGGGCCTAGAGCTTAGGTAAACTTTGTACAAGTCTATATAAAAATAGTGCCAAAGTTTAAAAAGATCATTGCTCAGCCTCGTCTTCAGCCTTATACTACTCGAGCCACATTCTGAACTCAATCAGCACCGCCACATTGAAAGAATTCGAGTAGCCACGTTTAACTTTCAAATAAGGCTACTAGTCTCAGTCTCATCATTATCATTATTGAATCAGCGCAACTGTAACTCGAAAAGCGCATCACGCATCACGCACTTCTTTTGACTACGACCAGTTACTCTCAAGGACCTTCGTTTCGTTTACTTATCAAAACCTTCATCATGGTAGGTATATCTATGTCTCGATTTCTTTCAGAACTTCAATCTAACAATCATAGAACACCCTCTTCAATACCGCACTCAAACAATCCACCTCCCTTCGTCGAGATCTTTCCTCTCTCTCTCCACCCGAATCGCAACCCCTCACTCCATCCCTGCTTGGTCAAATATCTTCATCTCTAACCTCCTTTTCAAGAACTCTTGATTCTTACGCTTCCCTTCAATCTGCTGAACTCAATCCTTCCAAAAAGGAAAAGGCCTATGAACGATTAACTACATTCCGTTCTGAACTACAAGATTATCGCTCCCAGTTTGCAACTCTCAAATCGCAAAATGAAGATCATCAAACACAGATAGATAGAAGTGAGTTACTTGGAAGAAGACCACATCATGCATCTACACCCGAAAATCCTTATGCAAATACAACGAGTGCGACCGCTGCTCGGGATAGTCCATGGAGACGCGAGGGTGGACCCGGTGGAAGTCAACTTTCTATGAATAGTGGGGATTATACAAGAGAAACACATGCTTTACGGGAACAATCCTTCTTTCAGAATACCCATAGTGCGTTGGATGAATACCTAGCTCGTGGACAGGCAGTTTTAGGTGATTTGGGACAACAGAGAGAAATGTTAAAAGGGACACAAAAACGATTGTATAGTGTGGCAAATACCTTGGGCGTATCTGGCGATACTATCCGCACGATTGAGAGGCGTGCGAAGCAGGACAAATGGATTTTTGGAATTGGGGTGGTGATATTTTTTGCCTTTTGTTGGGCTGTCTTACACTTCCTGAGGTAACGTATTTAGTGCAATCAGGTCATCATTGATACGGGAGGAGCTATCTTGATATTTATGAATTTAGGTTTGGGAGTGTGTATGAATATTGGGCAACTGTTATTTTCTTGGTATTATAAGCGTGGAGTCTGGAGTATGGTTCGGCACAAAAAGGGGCGGCTGTTCGTGCGACAGCGAACGTCAAGCATCTCAATTTTGATAGGAAGAACGAATGAGAAATTCATCAATGGCTTCAACCAAGTTTCACACACAGTTTCCTAGCTATGTCAATGTCTTTGGCACTTCCTTGGAAGATCTTGCCTATGTTTGGCCAACGTTCACGGATTGGGGTTATGAGATGCCCAATAAACCAAAGACGGAATGTCCATATACAGTCCCTTGTTCTTGTCTCACTCATCATACCTCTGCTTCTCTTCAATGCATCCTTTTCACATACTAGTATACCTCAACCACATGTCTCCATATCAGTAATGACTGCAGGTCTCACTTCAATCGTCTTAGCCACTTTCAATTTATGCTTGTTTTTGCACCACCTCGATTGATGTTTCCTCCAGGCTGATTCATTAATATCTTCGGTATCCGCCATTATGCCTTCGTCGAGTTCCTCATTGTCCATACTAGTCAAGATATCTTTCGCCAGACTTAAACTTCCACCAAATTCTACACTGCCCAGCCTTTCGCCGTTCGTTCTGCGCGTTTCAGTCCCGAGACTTGTCTCCTTTAGTCGACTCTCTACCGCTGTATCCCCTTCATACATGATGCTACGGTATTTTGAAAATCCCGCTGAGTGGTCTTCCTTATCTTCTCGAAAAATTCGAGGATTACATTGACCAGATCTGCCGTCATGCTTCGATGTTTCGTTAGTCTCGAAACTTTTATCAGGGGTGGTTTACGCATACGTCTTGGTGATGGTGCTTTCGCTTTCTTGGTATATCTATAGGAGTAGATTTATACTCCTGGAAAGTCATATTTGATGTTTGTTCACAGTAGTTTGTTGCCGGTTGAAGCCGAATTAACCAAGAGATGCAAATGGAGGAATCACATCCGTAGATAAATGTGTTGATTAAGCTGAATCCTTACTTTTTCTCAAATTCTGCTACATCTGTAGGTGAGCTTCAAAAATAAGCGTTGGTGCTCTCTAAAAAACTTGCTGTGGAAATGCTAATATTTCCACGCCGTATCTGCGGTCCGATCGAAGGTTGAATTGTTAACTCCCGTACGGCCCCGCACTTGACCGTATACTCACACAATTAATGGCTGCATTTGGAGATTATTGAGTGTGGACATTCCGGCTCCAAGGTACCAGATGGACTCCTCATCGTCTATCCGTGTCCAATCCTTTAGCGCCGACCCGACACAATGGTAACGAATTACATTACTCAAAGAGGATCTCATTTACTATATTCCTGCACAAAACCTTGCAGGTGGATAAGATCAACGGAATATGGCGAATAATATTTGAGAAAAGTAGACACAAGACGTGAGGACTATGTTATGGTTCCTTTATGTGTGGTACGTCGATGGACTGGATACCGGGGTTTAGTTAATAAAACCCTCGATTTCCTAGATCAATTGATTTTACCGGGCGCGAATAAATTCAATATTCGGTGTATACGATCAACATTGGTAACTGTGTAACCACTTCTCCATTCAATCAAACTCCTTATCGCATGCACAAAAGCTTCCAACAATTGAGTATTAGACGCATCCCGAGCGTTTATTTGATCCGAAGTGGGACTTATCGTATCACACCTTCTTTGAGATGACCCGAGGTGTTCTCTTCGTTCTCTTTAAGTTAGCCCGTTGAACTGGGCTTCGGCTGAATTTATTTTGCCATGCATATTGGCAGAAGGTGTGATTGACCAGCAAAGCAATGAATACCAGCCTCTGCACTTATCGTTTTGGGAAGCAACAGTTGGTAGGCTGTGGGCTGAAAAACACATGCCACTCAGTGTGCTTATCAACATGCATACATACAACGCAAGGATTTGTTTACAAGGGCGGAAGGATTTCGTTTATAATACCACTAGTAGGTAGGCATGATAGGAGTGGTAGGCTTTTATATATGATGGACAGTAATCCTACTCTTGTGGAACCATTCATCCCTAAGTTTCAAATTTGTCACCCAAAACTTATTGTTTTTTACTTCACGAAATAAAATCCGAGAAGCTTCAATATGAAGATCGCATGTCTGCAATTTGCGCCGGTCTTGGGCGATGTTGACAATAATTTAACACGAGCCGATGCAGTCCTAGCCAAAGCCAACGTACAGGATTTAGACTTACTTGTACTCCCCGAGTTGGCATTTTCGGGTAAGCTTTACTTTCATTTCACCACAATATTATCATCCTCGACGACAATTCGGGCCTACAAAATGAAGAACTCGCCTACTCATTCAAAGTACAAATCTTACCGACTTTCGCAAATTGTTTTGTATTGATTGCGTTTGCAATAATCGCATCACTATCGATTTCCCAAGATTCTGGTACTATCCGTTTGGGTCACGAGCTTGTCCGTACCAATCCTTCCAACCTTTAGGGTTATTATCGAAAAAATATGAAATCTGCGCGGCGAGTTGATCTACGCGGTGTACGTTCTCGCGAGAAACTTTCGGCATGTCATGTTTGATATCCTTTTCGCGATCTACCTAGATTTAGAATTCGTCTTACACATGGTCTGGGATGAACTCGGATCAAGTTGTTGCATCACACATATTTTTCCTGCATCAAATCTTCTTTGCCTTCGTTCTACTATTTCTACTCAATTTGGTTGTCACAGATGCATGGTGCTAACTAGATGCAGGATACAATTTTAAATCGCTCCAGCATATCTCCCCTTATCTCGAACCGACAACGTCGGGTATTTCTTCACTATGGGCCCGCACCACAGCCCTCAAACATGAATGTGTAGTCATTGTTGGATATCCTGAGAAAGTCGACATCAGTCCCAACTGGCCAGGTAGGCTGAACCCCTCTGCCCGACTCCTGTTTCGTATGTCATATCGATTCGCTAATAGACTTTCGCTCCAGCTTCCCCAGAATATTACAACAGTGCAATTACAGTGAATAAAGATGGAGAAACAGTTTCGAATTATAGAAAGTCCTTCTTGTATTATAACGAGTCCAAATGGGCTCTGGAGGGCCCCGACGGGTTCTTTGATGGTGAGATTGAAGGACTAGGCAATGTTGCTATCGGAATTTGTAAGTGGCCAACTAAATCATTCGAACGTGAGTAGAATATTCAACGTCACAAATAGCTTACTGACAATAATTCAGGCATGGATCTCAAGTAAGACTTTTCTGTTCTCTCCCTGTTCTTCGGCCCACATTAACAAGTTACAGTCCATACAAATTTGAAGCTCCATGGAATGCATGGGAGTTTGCGTACCATATTATGCACAAGCAAGCCAACCTTGTCGTACTCTCTATGGCATGGCGAACTCGAGAAGACGTTCGGAGTTATAGCAGACAGCCAAGGGAACCAGATATGGATACCCTCGCCTACTGGCTAGCAAGGCTTGAACCGATTATTCGAGAAGAGCAAAAGGGAGAGATTATTGTCGTATTCGCCAATCGAACCGGAGTTGAGGATGATGCTGTATATACTGGAACCAGTGCAGTGCTAGGCATTTGCGGTGGAGAGGTCAAAGTTTATGGCCTTCTTGGTCGTGGAGAGAAAGAGCTTCTTGTTGTCGACACCAATGTCAGACCGAAGGCCAAGCTCGTTGCAGATCCGATGCCACCTTTACCTGAAAAGGCAGACACAGACCTTTCCAAGCACGTTCACACTAATTCTCCCAAATCACCAACCAAACTAGGCGATAAATCGAAAAAGTCAGAATCCAGAGCTTTGCCACAGCTTGATCCAATCGATCCACATAAGACGGCCAAACGTACCAATAACAGCATTGATGAAATACTGAACACAGTAACACCTGTTTCCCCGGTCGAGCCCATGTCTCCCCATGCATATTTCTCCACCCTCGGCACGAAGAGATCTAAAGTTTCTGACACACCGCCTACCACTAAACCCCCTGCAAAGCTCGATACCTCCGTGTCGGGATCCTCATTCGACAGAACTCCTACACCGTTTTCTGAACCAAAAATAAATCTCGGGGATTCGATTGCATCTCCAACTCCTGTATCAATACCGATTATCCCTTCCAAACCATCCACAGCTGCCAAGGGACGTCCTTTGACCCCGCCAACATCGCCTTGCGTGCCACCAACCCCATCAAAATCGTCATTCCGACCCGTCTCACCAAAATCAAGAAACGCTAGCAGGACTAGACCCTTGGAACAAGATCCCTTGATTTTACATCCCCAGGATTTGGCGCAGGATTCTGATATTATTGATTCAATTATAGGTGTAATCGATGAACAAGAGAAGGGCCAGAAGTTTGTCGTGATGGGGCCATTGAAAATATCTAACAAATTGCCGCCTGTATCTACAAGGCGGACCTTTACCGCACGGCCAAGGAGTACAGTATGGTGATCGGCGAACGACAAAGGGTTCAAGGAGTTAAAATTCGGTGATGGGGCATGGTACAGGACCGTATGGAGCCATGAACTTTTATATCTAGCTCGTTCATTGCGTTATACAGATTCCTTCGCATTCCCGTTTAGAGTTTATGGTAATATCCATGTGCTATATTTTCGTTTCTATATAATTCTTGTACATATTTATACAATCCTTCGAAATCAGAACATGGCATGGCTCTTCCATCATAATTACATAATTCATTTAGCATTAAATGAGAATACTAGAACTACGTACATCTTGCTTCACAATATTGATTGGTGAGACCCCCTTGGTGGACCGAACATCTTCCACAGATACGAAGCTCATATTCCATGGCAAGCAAAAAAATGCTTGGACAAACGTGGAGCCCCATAAAAAGATTGTCTGAGGAATAGGTGGCTTTCTTCTAAATTCGGTTCCGGCTCATGATTAGGGGTTCCCTTAACATTAATATATGCTTGACTATGGGCCTCCATCAGTCATGACAATCGACAAATGAGCGAAAGTTTAAGGAATATACAAGGAACTTTTAACATGAACAATCTAATCATAAAATAATACTCAAAGTCCTTGCAACGTACAATCCGAATAGAAATTGACAATTGGGAGTTTTCAAATTGATGTTCTTTGGCTTGACATATTGCGACTGACTAGTCATCGGGGCGTAGAATTAAAAAGTACTAAAGAGACTTAAGAAGCACTAGCTCCAACCATAACATCATGAATTAACTGAGTAGATCTTTAGTCCTAATCAATATTGAGGCAAGTGTGGTTGAGAGCAGTCCAGATAGGAATTCCTAGAACATACATATATATCCTCCATGCCTCAAGTATGTTTGTTCGGAACAATCCGACATCATTTATCTTCAAGACTCCATTCAATATGGTTATCGAAAATCAAGCAATGGACTGTCAAAATGCGTCTACGGATACTTCGCCTATCGAAGAAAAAGCTTATACACCTATAAAACGTCAGGATTTGTCTTATACTCCAGCTACTTCAGCTCCTTCTTTGACAACAAATACTGGTGAGTTTCAAATCTAACTTGCCCTTCGTATTATTCCCTCCATCATTCCACATCAAGTTGTTGATTGAAATTATGCATATCATTCTCTGTCTTTCATAAATTTAATCCTACCAATTTACTCTAATTTTGCAGATGTCTATGGAATAGACTAACTTCTCAACATTGTAGACGCGAACCAGTTGTCGCTTAACGTTGGCGGTTTAAACTCGGCATCCAAGCCTCAACCTCTGAGGGAACAACTCGACGCTGCCGCTGAAGACAGGCTAAATTACATCGAAGTTCGCCTCTCACTACCTTCAAGCAAGGTCTTCTTTTTAAAGAGCCATTCCACGAAAAGTATAGAACTCTTAGAGTTATTGGTAAAGGCGTTTTTGGAAGTGTAAGTTCCATTACAGAGAAGGCTACAAACAAGTTATTTGCCGTCAAGAAGGGACTGAAATATGCAAAAAAGGAATCATTGCAAGAAGAGTGGAATTTGCACAAGAAGTTAAATCACACATCGATCGTTCGTGTTTATGACTTCTACGCATGTATAGAAGTAGGAAGCAGAATGGTTATGGATTTGGGGGAAAGACCATGTCCAACATGATTATTGAGAAAGGATACATCGAGGAGACTCGAATGAAGATTTACTTCAAGGAGGTCCTATTGGGGCTTGAATACTTGGTATGAACCCCGACTCAAGAAAGCCAGTCCGGAAGTCGGTGGAAAAGAGTGTGCTAATTCCATTGATAGAAATCTAAAAATATCTTGCATCGCGATATAAAGCCAGGAAATATGATCCTTGGGCGCGGCTCGGGTGGTCGTATTATGATAGCAGACTTCGGCTTGGCAGACAATTTGATAGGTGGCAAAAGAAATAAGATGACCTCAAGGTGCGTACAACATACGATACAAACTCTCAAATACTATTTGCTAACTTTATCGTAGAAAAGGAACACTTGTTTGTAAGTTCCCATCTTATCCCATCTGAACTCGATATTTGAGGAGATATCAATATTTGAGAGCACGTTGGCGGTCCTAGTGGATCTAAGATTTCAAATTGATACGACCCTTAATTATAGAGAGTCTGAACCATCGAACCCTACTCTAACCCCCGTGCCTCTGTACTACTTGGTTACCAACTAGGGCTCTACACTTGCTATCGGTTCATTTGCTAACTAATCAAAATATGGCACCGGAATGCACAGTAAGCAACTTCAACTTACTGGTATAGGATTCGGGGTAGACGTTTGGGCAGCTAGGGTCTCCCTTTTCCAATGTCTACTAGGCTATCTTCCTTTTGATTGCGCTGAGCTAGCGGGTGATGATGAAAAGAAGAAGAAAAATACGATTTTGATGATCAAAAACGACAAATTGTTCCTCGATATAGAGAGGGGCCCGCTGGGTCAACCTATCGGTCAAAAGTAGTGGATCTTTTGGTGAGAATGTTGGAAAAAGACTTTGAAGAATGGTCGACAGTTGAGGACTGTCTTGAACACGAGTGGATGTCCGGATAATTTCACCCGCATCTTACATAACACAATTTGTAGAGCATATGGCTAGGTTATTGGCGTTAAAAGATACCATTTGGAAACAATAAAGAGACTTTATTAAAGATTGGTATATCGTACTCAAACCTCTGAATGATTTTCGACTGGTTTAAAGTTTGAGCCTTCCATCGTAACAAGCGCAGAGAGTTGCCGCACTTGAAATGTTCATAATGGGGCTTGATAATCATCCTGATATGTAGTCCTTGATATTTTTTGGTGAACCTAATCACTATGAGTAGCTACCCGTAGTACCAGCCATACTTCAAAGTTGGAGGATACTCTCCTGCGTGGGTTTATGGTGCAAAGACAGTAGTGTAGAATAAAATGCAAATGTATGAAATTTAAAATTTATGGGTTAGGACCCTCTCAACAGATTGCAATAGCAACTCGGGAGCAGTGTAACAAGTTTTTGCCGCTCAACTATAGAGAAAATTGAAGACAGGTGGCATTGAAATTTGAGCGAGCCAGATGAGACTCAACGATTGTGCTGCAAACCAGGAAATTCGTAACCGGATCCTCTCATGTACCGTAAAACACAGCTAATCATCTTCCACTTCAGATGATATCATATGGGGGAAGTCGCAAATGGAATTCAATCCGTGAGACAAGAAGTGGCAAATTGGAGGGTTGGATTCTATCAGAAGACCCTTATTTCTGATACTTTTGAGAACCTCTTCAGATTGGTCCATTCGAAAGTAATTTGCTCTCTTTGGACTGCAATAGAGAAGTTACTTTCGATAGTCAATATGCTATCTCGTTGTCCCACGTCTACAATGTTGGGGGGGGGGCTGAATAACGTTCATTGTGTTTGTGTGGATAGTGTGTTTGTATACTTAATGTCCTCGTGAAGCGTTGCGCTTCTTCAAAGTTTTCATCGCCTAACATCATATCTGGTACAATCTCTTCACGTGCCGATGACGTTGATAGTCACGTGCATGTGTTTCAACCTGTGAAACGTGGTGGTGACCTTGGTACTAGATAGACTCCACACAATTGTGATTGAAAAAGAAAGATATTGACTGTTAAGAGGTCTACCCATTGTACTCATTATATATCATATTCAAATGGTCGTCTGATTAATGAAAACGATAATAATTGGTACCTACACCTATTATTCTATTTACTAAAGAGTTGTACGCGACCGTAAGCCTGAAGACGCTATAAAATTTGCGAATATGAAAAGTGATTATTTTTCCTAGATCCTAGCAACAAATGGTAAGGATTTTCGTTCGGCGCTTCCTTTTAGACCATACAATAATGATATGATAACTGTGTTTTTTTCAGGCTCTCTGAGATTTATCCTCAATCATTCCAGTTTGCCATTGAAGTCAACATAGCCTTTTCCAGCCACGAAAGTGGCATCCCAAGTCAAAGGCTCCTCACTCGTCGCCAATTCATAGTAGAACTCTCCATGTGCTTCACCATCAATTGCGTTTCCTTTGGGCCCTCCCTCTGTTGTTCGTTCGTCCGCCCAATAGAACCTTTGATCTGTCAATTCAAATTCACAATTCCGTTTGATTTCCACGCACCTATATCCATCTTTTTTATGCACTTCTGAAGCACTTTGGATAAGATGAGCTGCACCAGACTTTCCAATGCCAAACGCAAGTAATGATGGGATGATTTGACGATTCAGTATATTCCCGGTGTAAATGAATGTCTTATTAGTAGCTTCAGGAAGAGTTTTGAATCCCTCTACAGCCTCATGTGCAGCAGCATATGCTGAAGTAATGACTACATTGAGGTCTTCATTGAACTTTTCCAATGGCACAGAGAGAGGATCAGGAGTGACTGTTAACGCTGCGGCTTTTCTATTCATCAGTAGGTTTCATTGATTTGGCTTCGGGGTGTGCAATATTTCAGACTGCCGAACAATCTTGTGTGAATTTATCATATGAAGGAACTTAAAAGTTCTTGTAGTTTCGAATAATCGAGTTGTAGTCTGAATCACTAAGACCCCGATCCTATAATAGAAAAACTAACCATTATATACAACAACATTTGGAACTCCGAATTTCTGTTTCACTTCGTCAAAAATGCGTTTGATGCTTTTGGGATCAGTGAAGTCGGCTTGGAGGGAAAGATCGGCTTCCTTGATGAGCTCCTCTTTAGGATTTCGCGATACAATTACGGTCTTGTATGATCCTTTCGATGAGAAAACACGAGCGATATTGAGTCCAATATTGGGTCCACCGCCGAGAATGAGGACAATTTTCGACATGATGACTTAAGAATGGATTTGATATCACTGCGAGATGTTTATATCACAGAGATATCCTAAATCTTAGAGGTGAATATCCAAGAAGTACCTGATATGAGACTTATTGAACTGTTGTAAGACTTCTTCGGGTGCTCTTCCAGGTTGATGGAGATAGATCTGTATGTATATACAACATTGAGAACTGCTTAGAAATATTTCTGCTTGCGAACCATTATTCAGCAATGTCGTGCTTAGAAATGGATATTCCCCCATAGTCTATGATTGATGTTACTGAAAGTAGTCAACGGTGATTTTATTGGCTGAGAAGGGGAGCTTTTGATAATCAGATATCCTTGTGGCTCGATCTTACCATAGAAGAGTCGTTTCCTCGTTCCACAACTGTATAGATAAGTTCCCATATGTTGATTGGTAGCGTTGGATTCAGATTGTTAATTTGCTTGGGGTGGCTTGTGGCTTATTTTTCAATAATAAATTCACATTGATGGCACAATCCAACTTGTTAATCCTGGCACTCACCATGAATTACTTTGACAGGTATTGTGGAGGGTAACTGAGGTTTACTCACGTTCTCGTCATTTCCTGAAGAGAATAAATAAAGAACACGGAATAAATCAAGCGAGGGGAAGAAGGGGTACCTAGTGGTTAAGAAAGGAGGATTTGAACCAAATGAGCGGAGAAGTGAATTGAGAATAATCTGCCACGACGAAATTATTCACCGCCTTTCAAACATACTAGATCATTACTCGCCACAAACAACGAATAGGACATCGCCACACCTAATGCTTTTTCCCCTCTCTTCTTCTTATCCGCTATTCGAGCACTTCATAGAGATCTTGATATAAAAGCTACACAGTAGATACACCTCTACAGCTTTGAATCTTCTAAATTTCTATACTTTTCAAACTCAGGCTGATTATCTATTCATGCCTATCCAAGTAAATATGACTCAACCAAAGAGTTCATCATTCTGTCTTACATTTTCCATTTTTACTTCATTTCCTTGTTCGTGTTGCCTCGCAGTGGAACATAGCCGCGGTTTCCAACGTGATATATAATTGTTGATTGGCCACACAAAATCGTAAGTTCATCAATATGCGGGGCAAAAGGTAAAGCTTTCAGTTGCCTGACATCCACTGATACCCTAAATTCTACCAAAATATGAACATCGGACGTCAATATTGAGCGTCGGGCGATAGCACGGAATATAAGGATTTGAGGGAAGAAGCAACTTTTCATTTCTGTTCATCCTTTTTTTTCCATCTCTACTCTTCATCAAAATCTACTCTCAACATTCGATTATCACACTCTCCTCATTATCCGTGAAATTTTCTGCAGCTGAATGCCCAGCGGAATCCCCACTCTACGACTGGTTAACACGCGTCGACAACAAACCCAGAAAATTGGGTAGAAATGTCAAGCAAACAAGAATTCCGTGTTCGAGATTTAAGCACTCGAAGTGTTTTGATCTTTCCAACTAGAGCCCAGATTGTTCGTGATATCAGAGATATCACATTACAGGTAAGAAATTGAATACATACCGTGGTTCGTTGTGCTGACGGAGTTTAGACCGGAACCAATCAAATCATCATCGATGGACTTGCTCCGACCATTGATGAACACTCCATCAAAGTTGAAGGAAATGGTTCAGCCACCATCACTGAAGTATCCGTTGATCTTCTACCTAATCGTGACGTTTACGAAGAAGTTTATTCATCCGATTCTGAGTTTGAGGAAGAAACAGATGATGATTCCTCCGACTCTGAAGATGAATCGATGAAGCTTGTCGATACCAAAATCAAGCAAGTGAACCGTTTACTCGCCCAAGAAACCGAAAAGATTAATTCTGTTGCGAGTCGTCTGAAGATTTGTGAGGATTATGGTGCTACAGTTCGCGATAATCCCCCATCGCCCGAACAGTTCGAGAAACTCATCAAAGCATATCGCGATGAACGTGAGAAGATTTATGTTGAACACGTAGCTGCAACTGCTGCTTTGGAAGTTACGCAAGATGAAATTGTTAGATTGATGAAAGAGAAAAGCAAATTAACAAAAGCACGAACGAAGGCACAACGGAGAGCATTCAAGCAAAAGATTAAGCTTCAAGCGACCAGATCTCGAAAGAATGCTGAGTCGACAAAGGAAAAATTACGTATCAAGTCGGAGAGAAGTTTGTTCTGGCCAAAGAAAGTTTATCGTGTCACGATTAGTATTGAGCCTACGAGCTCTGCTATGACATCTGGATCATCCCGTCCTAGCTCGGTAGCTAGTGACATGACCGTCAACAACTACCAAGTCTCTAGCCGTCGAGCTACAGATATCATCAGCCTCTCCATCTCTTACATTACATATGAAGTGTCTTGGTCTCCACGCTACGATCTCAGCCTTAATACCTTGACTAGCACCGGTGTATTAGAGTATGCGGCCGAGCTAAAGAATATGACTTCAGAAACGTGGCGCGATGCCAAAGTTCTTCTCTCAACTTCTCAGACATCCATCACTAGTTTTAATGAATCGATACCAACCTTACCCCCATGGAACGTGCGACTACTGAAAGGGGGGAGCAGAAATGCCGAAGCCGCTCTTTTCAGTACCAGTGAAATTGCGGCCAAGAGAACGGAATGGGCTGATAAAAATAATCAACATCTCCAGCAACCTCG